CCCCCCCCCCCCCATAAAAAATCAATGCAATTATAGAATTACCTAGATTTAAAAAAAGCTGTCCAGACGACTCTTCGCCAACTTTTTTGGTTGGAATAGCCCTTAGAATAACGGGGGCTTCCGTCGAAGATGCAAATTGCATTTCCCTCGACGTTTTAACATTTACAAAAGCTCTTCCTGGGGTTCTTTTCTTCAAAAGTGCTGTAACGCTTCAAGCAGTAGCCAAAAAAACAATTCTTTTTCAACGTAGGTACAGAGAATTCTTTTCCAAAGATAAAAATTTTACCAGACAGGCGAAAAACCTCTGGAGCAGCAGTAATTGTTGTATTCATGTTGACAGCTTGCGCCATGGGCCTGGAGAGAACATTTAATTTTTGTGCAATGCAAGCCGCCACTTTTGTCTGTAAATTAGTAAATTGAGAGTAGCTTCTTAATGACGACGGTTAATTATGTCATTGAGAGACCACTGAGGTTGAACGAAAATTGTTGTTACATAAAACATAGTTCAAAACTAACTGGCGGTTGACACCCCAAGGTATCTTCGTCAAATACTAGTGAAGAATTAGGGCAAGTAAGCAACTTGCCGACCCCTTGTACGCAGATTATGTACTGTGGAACGCAGCCAAGCGAATAAACACCATCGTTAGAAAACTGGCAAGATATGTCTGGAATTATTTAGAAATAATGCTCTGTGAACAGAACGACCTATTTAAAAGACCACTGAAGGATCTTACATACTGCCACGTTATCACCCTCTGGCAGTGGCAAAACTCCTGCTTCCTCAGTCTTAGCGTCCATTAGAATTGCAGTTTCACTGCACAGAGGTGAAGAAGACAACTTTGATATTATGTTAATAGGACTTGCTACAGTTACAACGGGTTTTCTCAAAACTGTCGTTTCAAACATTTTTTCCCTTACTACTCCGGGTTTCTGAGCTTTAGCATTAAATACAGTAACTACGTCAGGAATCTTGCTAGCACAACTTTCTACAGCAGCCTAAAATAAGCAAAACTTTAGTCTGATAACAATTAACTTCCGCAGAATAAAAAATATTTACAGGGGCAAGACATCTTTTTGACGCCTCATCATATCTCAACCTCGCACCACAAGTCATCACCCTCGGCACGCCCATCAAACAAGCAATAAAGTGTGAAGAACAGCCATGCCCATGATGCCCATCTCCCAACTCCGAACAGATACCTAAAATATTAAAAACAACAAAAAAAATAATAATAACTAACGCAGTTACTAAAACTGAAAGCTTACTTTTCTGGATGTCCAGGGGAGGCACAACATCTTCTTCAACAAACCTCTTCGACTCCAAAAGAACATCTGAAAAGTTGTTGGCGAAGCAGCATGATACCACAACACAGAAATTCAAAAATGTTTACCAATAACTATCGGGTCAAGCGTTGGTTCTCGTTGGCATGTTGGGACTTTGTCTCTTAAATAAAAAATTATAAGAATAAAAGAATCTACAACGAAAACCCGCCAAAAATTATCATCAATAGTAAGAATAAAGTTTAACGGAAAGAAGCTAACTTCGGGAGGCATTGCTTTACAGATTGGTCAAATACAGTATTGAACGGACAGTTCACTATAAAAGCACTTCCTCCAGAACAAGCAAGGTACTCCTTAAGACAACCCAGCGAATACATTCCATCAAGCAAAAACGCACACACATTATTCCTTACTTCTGTAAAATCAGTGGCTGTGCAAAATTTGATTTAGCGAGTAGATACCAATAGAAGTCTACATTAATAATTGAATTCTTTCAAAAAAGAGAATATTAAACAAATTTCTCATATAAATCCCAAAAAATTTTTGCAAGTGATGAGCGCTCTGAGCGCAGTAGTCTCAAGCTCTCGCGCTTTGGCGTGTCAGAAAAAAAAGTTTTGAAACCCCATTTTTCTTCGACATCTTTTGCTCGTCTTTCGTTTCTGATTGACAAACCAGCTACTAGGCCTTTCGCAGGTGAATTAAAATTTTGTTACACTTGTGATACGCCACTTCTACTGTTTTATCAAGCATCCGCAAGATTTAACACAAGTTCCGTCAAGCAGATTCTTAGCAGATTCTTAGTTGTTCCAGCAAGGAATAATTAATATATAGTCTATATCTCACAAGTTAGGAAATCATAAGTTACTTATGACACCTGTATCAACTCTCGTTGTAATAATATCTTTGAGAAAACTGCTCACATATGCAATATTACTTCTTATAACGGTTTAAAACAGAAAACCAGCTTTTGTAGATAATTTATATGAGAATATTCTAACGCCTCCCATGGAATATGCTTCTAAATCAATCTCCTTTTCTTTAGAAAATTCATTCTTCAGTTGTAAAAAATTTACAGATACGGAAAAAGAATTTAGTGTTACATTAGTTGACGTT